CCAAAACCCACGGGAGGAGTCTCTGGTAATGCACAGAAAAACTCCACACAATGCCGGGCACGCAGGGTGCTTAATTAACGCTAGCTACTACTATTATTTTTATATCATCAATACTGCTCTTTTGGAGGATGGTCTCCTTTGCAACTTACATAAATTGTCAAGGTACAAGGAAGGTCCAGAGAGTAGATCAAATCGCTCACATGTTCCAGGGCCAGAAGATTCACTCATTCACTCATCATATATTTGGGGGTCACTTGCTATGTTCTAGATGCCACATTAGGCATGGGGGTACCATAGTTGTTCAATGACACATAACTGTTAGAGTAGTAGGTAAATGTCAAAAACTATGTGGCAGTAAATAGTAGGAGAATAAAAGGATTCCTTTCCTGCTGGAGCAGCTCAGGCAGAGGAACCCCTGTCTCTGGTTAGCCTTGAGGACACATAAGATTTCTGTAAGTTCTGTGCTAGTAATCTGGATATTATGTCTACAAAATAAGCATCTGCTACCTATTTATAGGTAAGGGAAGATTAATCAGTGTTCATAAAAGAATATCCTATGTGGCTTTGTCATAAAAAAGGTAAAAGGATGTCATTTTTATGACTCTGGCAACTCCAAGAACCCCTCTGAAAGCCTTTCTTACTCACAATCTATGTAAACCGCAAGAGAGGTCTGAAGCCTGAGGAGAGTGGTCATTATTATTCCAATTTGGAGCTGGTAAGCATGAATAATTTAAGGGTCATATCTGTAAAGGAACAAATGTCAAAAACAAATTGACAACTATTCTTCGAGCCAAGTATGGTTCATTTTCAAAAGGTCAGTTTGGTCATTTTCTCAAGTTAAGTTCTGAAATCTTAACTTCTCATTTTTACATTTCACACGAGCTCCAGGAAAACACATTTTAGTAAGTGTTAAGGGCATCTATGCCCATGGTAATTGACATTCAACAGGTATATTATAATCCAGGAGGACCTGTGAAGGGCTGACCAGTTCCCCATCCAGCTGGATGGCAGAGTTCCAAGTGCAGTGCTGTGCCTGCTGGCTGGAGGCTCTGCGGGAGATGGGGCTGTTCTCTTAAAGGTGGCGCACATATGCTTTGAGACATTCCAGCAGAGCAGAGACTGTGGCTGGGATACAAACTCCTACTGAATACAGGAGGGACAGGAACCTCTGACTCAGGGGACAGACAGAAATCGTACACTTACTTTTGTATGGCTGGGGTGAGTTTTCTAGGCCATCTTTCCCTGCTGTTAAAATGCAGTTATACCCCTAACTGCACCAGTGCATTGTGGCCTCTTGGTCTCTGAGACAGGCCTGGTGGTTCAGCACCTCACTTGCTGCTCTAAGTCCCAAAGTGCCACACGGAAGACGGGATAGCAACAGCACCCCCACTTCAGAAGGCTGTCATGAGAATTCAAGTCCTTGTAAAGGCTCAGAACACAGGAAGATAAAATAGAAGTTAGATATTACTATTTTTATCCTAGAAGTCCCAAGATGGGAGATCACCTTTCCCTCACAACCTTGTTCACATTCCAGGAAAATGATTCTGTAGAAAGGGACCCAAAGTAGAGAAAGCCGGCCTGGGTCCTGGCCCTCGTCGGGCTCAGATTGGGCATTTGCCCTTTAGCAAGTGGTTTGCTTCCTTAAGTGAATCAAGCGTGTTGGACAACATCAGTGTTTTTCGCTGGTTCATCAGTGCCCCAGGGGAGAATTCTGAGGTCTTAACCTGCACTTTGGCCAGAGCTGTCCCACTTTTTCCATCTCTTCTTTATATTGCGATTCGATATGAAATCTACCTTGAACAATAAATTGTCATTGCTTACAGATAAAGTTAAAGAGCCACTGCATAAGGTGATCTATAACACTTTAATTGATAAAATGCATGGGTCTAAGGTCAAAATTCTCATAGTTGAAGTTTAGAAATATACTAAATATACCAAAAAATTGGAATGGTTGAGAAACAAATTGAAACAAATTCAGATTTCATTGACTTACTCTACTCCCCCACTGAAGATTGTAATAAGAAATGACTAGTTAAGGGATATTTCATACCCTGTATCCCTTCTTGTCTTCTTTCTAATGAGAATTTAGAGAACCTAATATATCCCAGAACTTGCATAGGGGATCAGGGATTCAGGAGTGAGCAAACTGATGAAGTCTCTGCTCTTAAAACTCATAGCCTACTTAGGAAGGACAGTAAACAAATAAACAAATCAAGGTTTACAAACTATGAAAGTATAAATGTTAGAAGCTGAAGTGAAGAGAACACAGTGGGTATGGGCTTGGCTGCTTAGGTGAGACTGCAGGGGAAGGCCTTTAAGGATATAAGCTACCTGCAAATACCCAGGCCTGCAGTTCTATCATCCAATGACTATGGCCTTCATGCAGCTTACTGTGGCCTTCATTTAGCTTATCTCCTCCCTTGGCCTTGGCCTAGATCTGGTCAGCTGTAGTTACCTGCCTTTTCTAATAAGCATAGGTAGGAGGAGGAGGCAGGTCCAGGGATGAAACAGATGACCAGAGGTCTCTGTTTTTTAAAGTAAACTGCCCAAACTGGTGCTTTTCAAGAGCAATTAGCCAATTGACCCTCGAGTTATTTTGTTTTTTCTACAGATTAGACAGTCTCAATAGAATAACAACTTTTAATTTCCTGGTTTTAAATATTATAATACTTTTTGGGTAAGCAATCTGTTTACCTGATTCAAAGCCCACAAAGAATAAAAATATAGTGAGTGGTTGGACTCTGAGACTGGCCTTGAGCCTTTAAATCCTAGTAGTTGTCACATATTAGTTGTGTGAACCCTGGCAAATTATTTAAGAACTTTGTGTCTTAGTGTCCTCAGCTGTAACACACAAACATACACATACAACACACAAACAGTGGTTCCCCCTGGTGGTGTTGTGAGGCCTGAATGTAAAGACTTAGTACAGTACCAGCATACGGTAAGTGGTAAATGAATGGAGTTGAGCAACAGGAAGCCAGGAAGAGTCCTAGGCTGCACACAACCATGCCTCTTATCCCCTTCTAATGACAGAAATTGGAAACTTGAGCTCATTATTTTTCTTTGACTTACCAAGAACAAATGGAAAGGGACCACGCCTATGGTGCATCTTACAATGGTACATTTGAAATTTATTAGGTGGAGAATATAAATGTCTTAACACAATAACTAAGAAAATGCCACGAAGGCTATGTTGACCAGTTTGATGAAAGCATTTCAAATTGTATGTAAAACCAACACATTGTATCCCATGATTGCATTAATGTACACAGCAATGATTCAATAAAAAAAAAAAGAACAAATGGAAATGCAGTATCAGTAGATTGGCAAGTACTGACTGTTCCATGCTGTCTAAAACTATGCCATGAACACATAAAGATTAATCAAACATGAAACACTAGTTTTTCATGGCATTAACAACAAACCATTCAAACATATCAGAAAAAGGGAAAGTGAGAAAATAGAAAATATTAGTTTTTGATGGCGTTAAGGAACTATTATGCAAACCACCCAACTATATGAGAAAACGGCCAGGGAGGAGACAACTGATAAAAATTTAGGGTGACAAGCAGAATAATTGCCTGATCTGGTTAACACCGGCCAGTGCATTTCTACAGTTCTCTGAATTTAATTTCTTAATTTGCCCTGAGTGGAAGTTCTGTTGACCTTCAACATAACTGAGCTTCTACTGTTGACCTGGGCTTGGCAGTGGCAACTTTAAGACATCCTTTCAGCCACTAACATATATCTTGGGTGCCTTTGCTCAAGGACCACGTGCTCAATTCCTGTGGCTTATTTAGGACATTTAACATAACATATTATTTGTTCCCTCACAGCAAGGTCTCCTCTTGACAGCCAAGATTCTATTTTTCTGTCATAAGTAATTATAAATGTACACCTCTAAAAAGATCTCCAATTTGAGGGGTATAATCTATTTCAGGTAGTAAATCACAGAGACATCTCCATCCCTGGGGTGGCCAAAATGTACAACTCAGATGTATGAGCTGTCACTCTAAATTCTCCACACCTGAAGAAAAATGGGATGCTCCACTTTTTTCCCTGGGGCAGTTAGAAAAAAACAGAACAAAACACAAAAACCTGGCATTTTTGTTGGAACAATTTATATTGGTTTCACTTCTACTTTTTAAAGCTTCAGATATAGCATTTCCATCTTCAAAATTCAACCCGGAAAACTGTCTTAGAGAGTCTCACTTGGAGGTTATTTGTCACTCCAATTACGCACTTGAGATTCCTCCCCGCCCTTGCCTTCTCAACCCCTCTGTTTCCACCAAAGATTCTTTTATGTTCCCCCGCATGCACTCCTCACAGCCACAGTCCCTGCTCATGACCAGGAACTAACGGTTCATCTTCATGGCTTGTGCCAACAAAGGGAACCCCAGGCCAATTTTCATCCCTGCATCCTTCCAATTTTGTATTACTAGTACCTATTGTAGCCACCTGACAGCCTTCACTTTAATGAAAAGGTTGTATCTCTGTATTAACAAAAATAGGTAATGTTGGAATACTGGGTCTGCTTTATAATAATCCCAACAGCTGGTATTTGGAGGCATTATTCTAAGTGTTTCATATACAGCACCTCATTGAATCGTCACAAGAAGTGATCAGGTGGACCCTATCTATTATTCCTATTATTTTACACATGCACTAATCAAAATTCATAAAGGTCACACAGCAGGAGCTAGTAGAGCTGGAATTCAGATGAAGGTCAATTTGACACCAAAGCCATGCTTTTATGCCTTAAATTCTATTTTGTCCTGGAATTAACCTTTAGAAGAACAAGGATAATTTCTCTCTCATACTCTTTTTAGATGTAAAAAACCCATCATCCTAAAAAATGAGGCACAGGTTACCTCATTTGGATGTGTAAGCTTAAATGATCAGCATTTAATGAAAACACTGGCATCTCAAAGTGACTGATTCTCTCTATTTATAGTAAATTATTTTTATTTTTTTATGCATAGCATTTTTCATATTCCCACCTTGAGCGCTCAAACTTCCAGGGGAATCTGGATGCTGCTCAGCTGGCTGTTGACTGGGAGGAACAATTGGTGGGCTCAACATATTCAACCAGTCCCTAAAGAGAAAAGAAAGTGCATGAACAGGTCTGTAGTTCCATATATAGATTTTACCTTTCCCCTGGATTTTCAGTTTCCTGGGGCTTCCACATAGAAACCTCTTTCCTCCTTCATATTTCAGAAAGACAGGGTATCCAGATATTAATTCTCATATCTATATATTGGTTAATATGGAATCAGTCACTCACCTAACCAGTTATTTGATTAGTATATCAACTAAATGATGACTATTCCCCTCAAAAGTGTATTATTGTTCCTATTCAATTGTAGCACAGTTCTTATCACACGAAAAACTTATTTCAATACCTCAGAAGAAATGCAGCAGAAATGAAGCTCCTTATGATCTCTGGGTAAGAAAGCCTGACAAAGTCACATGCCACACGTCACGGATGGCAACACTCCAGAGACTCAGAACAGGAGTCGGGCTTGGAGCTGGCGCGGAACCACTGCAGTGTCAGGAGTCAGCGGCACTAGCTCAGGGCGTTCAAGTAGCAGAAGGCAAAAGGAGGAGGAGTGAGGGCAGCTGGGTCCTTGCAGGAATCACTGGTACAGTTCTCCCATTGCTGGGGCAAAAGCACTCCAGAAGGAACTGCGACCTTCCCGTCCCTCTGCCTCAGTCTTCCTGCCTCATTCCCCAACCTCTTTGCTTCCCTTCCTCTTCCACTCTTTCCCAGTCTCCTGCCCCCACCTGGGTGACATCCAGAAGCCATGAGTCACTGTGCGTTCTGCCTCAAGCCCATCTCATCTCTAAACTTGCTAGTGAGCTTTTTTTTACTCCATTTTTTTATTATTATGAACAATTTTATAATAGCCACCCTTTTACACATACCTTGAGAATTTCAGTGAGATAAATTCTTAGAAGTATATAATTGCTAGATCAAATCTTAGTATTTTTTTAAGCTACAAAGATAATGTTGATGGTGATATTAATAACATTAATATTTGTTAAGCATTTTCTATGTTGACTCTAAGTCTTCTAGTCAGAAACTGTAAAGGATCTGAGAGATTTTACGCTAATTGCAGCCTACTGAGCTTCTTGAATGGAAGGAAAAAGCAGAGGAATGTAAAAGACTTTCCAGTGTGAATTCTTTCCAGTGTGATATTGGTACCTCGTATCATTACCTTACTGTCCCCTGTCACGTCCTCATGGCTGGATAACGTCTTTCTAAATTCTGTATTTCCTACTGCCTTTATCTGCAGTGGGAGAAGTCCCAATCAACACCTAGGGGTACGGGCTTTCCAGGCCAGTACTGTTTCCACGCTTCCTACAGTAAGAACTCGGCCAAGTCAGTCAATATCACTAAGCCTCATCTGTGAAAAGGAGATACTGACAGTGCTTCAAGGTTGAGTATTAGGATTACATGCAAAAAATGGGTGAAGAACATTTGGCATGGATCTGGGGACAGTGTTAGCACTTAATAAATTTTAGCTATGAATACCACTATCTTCATTTTCAATGAATGAACCAAGGTGGGAATTTGATTTTGTTTGAATTAAACCAGTAAAGGATGGTAGAATGATTACCAGTCTATACAGGAAAGGTTTTCCTTTCAAGCCATTCTTCCACTAAAAAAAATACCTTAATGTAAACATTACTCAATTCCTATTTGTAATATTTTGAGATACTTTCAGTCACTGCTCACTGTAGCTATCACTAGATTGTGGCTGGTGAAATAAGCAAGGTGAGCATGCTGTGTAATTGAATTTCATAATAATGCATTAAGGACATCAGAAAGGGTTCGTCACAGACTTCCAAGCTAATGGAGCATTTTCTGATAAGCACCTTTTATTTAGTCCACTTAATTACAGCAGCCCAAAAAATTCCTGTATTATAGAAAATTACAAGGTCACATACAAATAACCAGCCTAGTGACTTCATTACTCACTAAGAATGATGAAGAGCAAGGATGAACAAGAGAAAATAGTATTATCATTTGATGACACCTTGAGCCACAAATCAGAAACTCCACATAATGGTCCAGTGAAAGGGGGAAAACGTAGGTGGGGGTTGTGTGGCTGTTAGGAAAAGCAAGACATTCATTCACTTCTTAGGGCAATGATTTTATTAATGATTTTCTTTTTAGGAGTAGCTACGAAAAGTACAGGGTTCTTCTTTTTGTGTTAAAAAAAATTTTTTTTTGGATTTATAGAAAAGTTGCAAGAAGAATATAAAGAACGGTATATCCTTTGCCCAGATTCCCCCTATTTTAACATTTTATCATATTTGCTTTTTATCTCCAAGTCTACTTAAACAGATATCTACACATCTATCTAAACAGAGGGCAGCAAACTGTGACCTGTGGGCCACCAGGGCCGAGTCTGACTCTCTCTTTTTGTGCAACATGCAAACTAAAATGACATTTGCATTTTTAAATGGTTAAAAAAATTAAAATAATGTTTCATGACGCATAAAAATTATATGAAATTCAAGTTTCAGTGTCCATCAGTAAACTTTTTTTTTGAGACAGTCTGACTATGTCACCCTCAGTAGAGTGCTGTGGCATCACAGCATACAGCAACCTCCAACTCCTGGGCTTAAGCAATTCTCTAGTCTCAGCCTCCCAAGTAGCTGGGACTACAACACTGGCCACAAAGCTCAGCTATTTTTTGTTGTAGTTGTCATTGCTGTTTTAGCTGGCCAGGGCTAGATTTGAACCTCCCAACCTCAGTGTATGTGGCTGGCACTGTAACCACTGTGCTACAGGTGCTGAGCCCATCAGTAAACTTTTATTGGAATACAGCCATGCTCATTTGTTCACAAGGTCAATTAAGTTTGAGAACTCATCCTTAAAAAAATGCTACATATGGGGTGGCACCTGTGGCTCAAAGAATAGGTTGCTAGCCCTATGATTATGGTCACCTTCAAGGTACTCCCCTTGGAAAGCTAGCACCAATGCCAGTGCCTAGTCTGCCCTTCAAAGCAATTTTGGACCTCTTTTTCTGGAATGGCCATAAGAGCTGTAGTCATCTAAGGTCTGACAATTAAGTTTGAGAACTCATCCTAGAAAAAGTGCTACATATCTCATTGCTGAATACCAATATAGTCACTTTCAATGCACTCTCCTGGGCTATCTGGGGACCATCTGATATTTAGCAATGAGGTAAGGAGCACTTTTCACTAGGACAGTTCATGAACTTAATTGGGAACTTAACTTTATTTGCTAGAGTTCTCTATTTGTTTACAGATACTTTTCTTCTTTAGTTAAAATACTTTGTTCACAGTTGACTTGGGTTAGCTCTTTCTACCCCTTCCTTCACTGTGATTGTATTATTCATTTGAAATACAGTTAGAGTCATCTACTTCTACTTGTATTATATTTTAGGGTTTTTTTCTTCATTCTCGTTGATTTTTATTACTTTTGTTACTCTTGAGTATATAAAACATCAATAATTAAACGTCAATAACACAACTGAAGGGCACACTCAGTTAAGAGGCACATCCTCCCACCCCTTCCAGTCTGTCCCCATCCCCTCATCACTCCCACTCCACCCTAACGAACCCTCCAGAGATAATAAATTTTATTAGTTCTGGTTTTTGTGCTTGGTTTTGCAAAAACAAACATCTGTGTCTATTTCTTTATTATGTTTCTTTCTCATGCAAAAAAGTAGCATACTACAGTTACTCTTTTGCACTTCAGTCCTTACAGGTTACAATATACCCAGAAATCACTCCCAGTTCATAGAGAGAATTCTCAGTCTTTTTTATAAGTGAACAATTTTACCATATATACATACTGCCATTAATTTACCACTTTCTTCTGTTTGGGCATGTTTTCAATATTTGGAATTACTGCAATTAAAACTTCAATGAACTCCTTGGGAATATCTATTTTTGTGTACTTGGAGGTAGATAAGAAATTTACTTGAAAAAGTAAATTCCTGGAGTAGGATTCCAAGAACAGAAGGCAAATGCACACTTGGTTTTGTTAGATATTGACAAATTCCCTTCATGAAGGTTGAACCCATCTGCATTTTCACCACCAATGTATGGAATGGTGGTTTCCCTAGAGCAATGTCACAAGAAAATGTTGTATTTTAATACTTTCTGATCTGAGCGGGGAAAATGAGTAGTACTTTAAAGTATTTGATTTGTATTAGTTTTCATTATGGGTAGAGTCAACTGTATTTTCATATATTTAGGGCCATTTATGTAATAAATACTCATACACATTTGCATATACTACCTATATGCTTGTTCACAATTTATGCCCTTATTTAAATCATATTTTTTGTCTTTTTCCTTCACCTTATCACTTGTCTTTGCTTATGGTATCTTTTTGTCATGCAAGTTTTTTTTATTTTTATGTAATCAAATATATTGATCTTTTTAAAAATTGCCTTTGTATTTAGGGCCATAGTTAGAAAGTCTTTCTCTACAACCAGGGTCTATAGAAATCCACCCAAGTTTTCTTCTAGTTGATTGCATGGCTTCATTTCTTACATTTAGATATCTGATCCATGTGGAGTTTATTCTAGTGTATGGTGTAAGTTTATTTTGGTACAATTTACATCTAATTTTATCTTTTAAAAATAGCTACAGAGTTCTCTTGACAAGTGATGCTATTTTAATATAGATGTAGAAGATTTTAATCAATTAAGAAATTTTTAATTAAAGCAATTCATTTGTTTAGCTTTTTACTAAGTAAGCATTTAAAAAGTTAACTTAAAAAGGGTTTCCATGTTAACTGAAATATGAAAGACTCTGGGCTAACCAAAATCACCCAGGACTTTTTCCTTGAAGGACTTTTCAGAGCCTCTAAAACATCTCCCAAAAAGAAAAATCTCCTAAGAAGAGGACAGAATATACAGCACTGCCCAAATTTCTCCATCTGGAACTGTTACATCTCTTGGGACCATAGAACATACATTGAGAAATGCTGCTTCAGGTTATCCTGTTTCTCCACCTTGGTGGGAATTTTTTTTTAAATTTTTACTTTACATGTACTTAATAATTTCATTTTTTTCAACAGCATTCTTTGTTACTTGTTAATAAGCAGAA